ATTATGGCCACATGTCGCGTACGTGTTGAGGCAAAAAGGTCACAACGAAGGTAGCCTCACCAACAGTGGTGGGCTTATCTTCAAATCCTGGGAGTATTCTGCGAGCAGCTCACAGGGAAACACCTCGGACCAGTAGGAGTGTTAGCCGCTCTTACTCGTGTTGAAGTGGTAACGTTGCCTTCCCCACTTCAGGCGTTGGCCAAGGCTAGTGACCCACGCATCGCCCCGCAGACACATTCAGACCCACCGACGCTCTGTTCGAGAGATGTGTCTGAGGCCCTAGAAGAGTTAGAGACTGAGTTGTCAGGAAAGGACCCCAGGGACTCTTGGGCGATGATCAGTAGAGGTCCTAAGGGTGAACATTTCGTGGTAGAAGTAGACGTAGGTGGTCGCAAGGTTGGCGCCTTCGCAGACATAGGCTCTACATGAAATTTCATTAGTCGTGCTTGTGTGGATAGACCGCGCTGAGGGAACCAAGTGCAGCGGCTTAGCAGAACTGTAGCTTCTATGCTAGCCAACAAGCACCAAATGGTTGTAAAGGACTATGTCAAGGACGTAGCCTGTTCCTTCTCCTATGGAGGAGGTGAAGTGATCCACAAGATCTCCTTCCTGGTGAGCGACGAACTGTCGTTCGATATGCTACTAGGCATGTACTACCTCGAAGTCTCGCAACCTCAGTTTGACTGGGATAAAAAGGTGTTGATTCACAAATTGCCCTATGGTAGAACTCTCAGATTGCAGAAGTATAAAGTTAGCAGTCTAATAGAAAACTACGGGTGTACGTGTGCTTCATCCTTCTATAACTACTATAAGCAGAATCAAGAGGAGGGCATGTATCTAGTCTTTGTCTCTGAGAAAGGGGAGGCCGTTAAAACACCCCCAGAGATAGAAAGAGTCGTCGCAAAATATTCAGACCTTTTTTAGGAGCCACTAGGCGTGGTGGAAAAGGAGGTTGTACATGCGATAGAGATTGTCCCAGGTAGCAAGGTGCCTAGAGGACGAATCTATAGGATGTCTCCCATGGAGTTAGATGAGCTTTGCCGCCATCTCAAGGAGCTCACAGAGAAGGGATGGATATGGCCTAGTACCTCCCCTTACGGTGCGCCAGTCTTATTTGTTCCAAAGAAGGGAGGTCCATCAAGGATGTGCATTGACTATAGGGGCCTCAATGCCATCACCGTTAAGAACGCGGAGCCCCTACCTCGCATTGACGACCTCTTGGATAGAGTGCAGGGATGCCGGTACTTCACAAAGATAGACTTGAAGTCCGGATACCATCAAATTGTCGTTAGACCTGAGGATCAACACAAAACCGCATTTCAGACCAGGTACGGTCTGTACGAGTTTGTGGTGATGCCTTTTGGTCTATGCAATGTGCCTGGTACGTTCCAGCACGCGATGAATAGGATTTTTCATGACTACTTGGACAAGTTTATTGTCGTGTACCTCGACGATATTCTCATCTTTAGTAGGACTGTAGAGGAGCACGTTGAGCACTTGAAAACGGTGCTAGGTCTCCTAAGACAACAACAGTACAAGGTGAACTTGGATAAATGCGAGTTTGGTCGCACCAAGATCCTGTACTTGGGTCATGAAATTTCAGCAGATGGGTTGAGGCCGAAAGATGCGAAGGTGGCTAGCATACGTGACTGACCTAGACCTCAGACTGTTACTGAGGTCAGATCGTTTTTGGGGATGACGGGTTATTATCGTCCGTTTGTGAAAAACTATAGTACTATAGCTTCCTCATTAATAGATCTAACTTGACTTGACACCCCTTGGGAGTGGACTGAAGAGTGTGAAGCAAACTTCAAGAAATTGAAATATGCTCTAACACGCTACGAAGTTCTCAAACTTCCGGATCTTGACAAGACATTCATTGTGACCACAGACGCCAGCCAATATGGCATAGGCGCGGTCCATGCGCTACAGGAAGGGCCCAAGTTGAGACTGATCGAGTATATGAGCAAGAAAATGCCATCTCAAAAGTTAGCTAAGTCCACTTATGAGAGGGCTAGTTCATTGGAGACATTACCTCCTAGGAAGATTCTTCTGTGTGAGGTCTGACCATGAGACTTTGCGTTGGATTAAGACACAGCCTGTGTTGTCAGACGCACTCAAGAGATGGATTCAAGTGATAGACATGTATGACTATAAACTTGATCCTATCAAGGGTACGTACAACAAAGTGGCTGATGCGCTATCAAGAAGGGCAAATTATCTGGGCGCGCTAGTTACCGAGTTTGGCATATCCGACGAACTCACTCGATCGTTGGTGGAAGCTTATCAGGGAGATCCAGTTTTGTCAGAGATCATCCGTAGATTCCAAGCAAAGGATAAAAAGACTTTGGACAAATTTACGATGGTAGACGGCTTGCTGTTTCTCGAGAAGGCAGGGAATAAAAGACTATGTGTTGCTAATAGTGCGTCTTTGCGTAGTTTATTTTTAGGAGAATGTCATGATGCAGCTGGTCATTTTGGCTATAGAAAGACATCAGCGAACTTAGTGCAGAGATTTTGGTGGCCTTCTATGTTAGAAGATGCAAAACGTTATGTTGAAACCTGCCAAGTTTGTCAAAGGGACAAACCAAGGACTAAGGCTCCGCTTGGGTTGATTAAACCCTTGCCGATCCCTGAAGGACCAGGCCAGAGTGTGTCCATGGATTTCATGGATACCCTTGTGACCAGCAGGTCAGGAAAAAGACACATCTTTGTCATAGTGGACCGTTTTACCAAGTACGCTAGACTGATCGCTATGCCTGAAACTGCTAAAATTGACTTTGTCATCAAACTCTTCATGGATAACTCGGTAAGGGATTTTGGTCTACCTACGTCTATAGTTAGTGATAGGGATGTCAGATTCACGAGCGAACTGTGGCAGTCTACAGCTGAACAAATGGGCACAAAACTCCAAATGACATCAGGAAATCATCCTGAGTAAAATGGTCAAGCGAAACAAATGAACCGAGTAGTACAGCAATTGCTTAGGCACTATATCAAGCCAAGTCAGGACGATTGGGACGAGAAACTACCTCTCGTTGCCAGCCTGTACAACAACGTTGTGCATAGTACTACAGGCATGACTCCCAACCAACTGCATCTTGGTTGGAAGCCTCGAACCGCCCTTGACTTTCTGCTACTAGAAAGAGAACCCACTGCAGCACCCGGCAGCATAGAGTTTGTTGTCAAGTATGAACAGATGCTGCAGCAGGCCATTGAGCATATCAGGAAAACTCAGGAAGCAATGATTGCATCTGAGAATAAGCATAGACGGCCTTCTAACTTTCAGGTAGGCGAGATAGTCTGGATCAAGTCCGCTGAGCTTGGGCAGGAGTTAGGTATATCTCGCAAGCTAATGCCACAGTACTTTGGGCCTTGGGAGATCTTAGACATTGTAGGAGATCAACCAGGCAGTCCTTCATATGTAATCCGCATCCCACCACACATACGTACCTTCCCTGTGTTCCATGCCTCTAAGATAGCACCCTTTGCTGCTACTGAGCAGTTCCCTTCCAGAAGACAATGCTGCCCCCAACCATGGATGGCGAAGTGGACATTGACCAGATCATTGAGCATCGAGTGATGCCTGTTCCGCAACCATCAGGTAGAGGGCGACCTCCTAAACCGAGAATGCAGTATCGTGTGAGCTTCAGACATCATCTGGACCCTAAAGAAGACCAGTGGTTCACACGAGAAGAACTCATGAGAACAGCACCTCAAGTGATCGCAGGCTATGAAAGAACACCCAAGGGGACGATGCCTGCAGAATAAGAGACTTCTCAGAGGACTCACGAAGTAAAGGAGGAGGGAATGCGAGGATTAGGGTCCTCGGTAGGCCTATGGGGCCCTGCTTGCAGCAATACCCGCCCTAAGTGAAGGCGGAGGTCCCCGCCCTAAGTGAAGGCGGGCCTGGCTTTTTGCAAGAGGCCCTCGACTGTCAATTTCATATTTGGGGTTCAGGCAGTTGCGACGCGCCAGTTGGTTGAGAGAAACACAGGACGAGCAACAAAGACATTTTCACGGCCCTCTGGGCCTTTCCAAAGAATGCAGGCCCTGGGCGTGATTCRCAGCCTCATACAGAGACAGTTGGGYGCCCAACCGAACGAGGCCCAGCARCCCAGTAGCTGCTGTACGCAGGCAGCATCCTGGGGCCTTCCGGAAGCTTCTGGGCCCAGGCCAGCCCAGCCAGGTTGCGAGAGCTGGCCAGCTCTTTTCCATAAAGGAAAGAGCTCTGGCCAGGCAGCCTCATTCAGGCACTCGCATGCTAGCGGCAGCGCTGCTGGAGCAAAGGCTCGCGGCTGCTGGCTGGCGCCGAGAGGCGAAGTGCAGMACGTGCGGTCGTGCAGAGGAGGAGGGTGCTGCTGAGGCCAGCGCCATAGCCCAGCCACCATAGCTGGTGGGCTTGGACTACAGTGAAGCGCAGGGGTGGTCTTCGGGTGAAAGAGAGGACAGGTGTGGGTGTAGTCAGGGGATAGGTGAAGGATGATGATGATGATGATGATGTGAGGGCACTTACCTTGTACTGGCGATGGTCTGCATGGGCGACATCTTCAAGTACTTCGGGCTGCCGCTGATGTCAACAGTTGCATTGTCTTTTTGTAGTCTGTAGTAGCTGTGTAGGAGTACGCTGGGCGCTGAGCGCCAAGTGTGAGTGTGAAGGAACTGGACTCTTGTGTTGGGAGGAGAGAGTATGCTCTCCATGAACATTGGTTTTCAGTGCTACGAACCTCCATTGGTGTATTATTGGTGCAATGCTGCTCTCTGGACACGGTGTGACTATTTGGCTTTCAATGTGATGGTGTGATCTGGAATTGTCTTCTCGCTGTTACTTATTTTCCTTGCACTTTCGGTTTTATCAAAATAATACTTTAAGTATGCATTTGGGGCTCTTAAGTGACCCCATCAACCAATTGCAGACCAGTATATGGAGCAAATTTGCTTCAGGTTGTAGCTAGTGTTACTTTTCCCTTGGTCTTTGACGGGCTGTTTGTGATACATACCTTGACGACTCTGTCATATGCTTCCATGGCTCGAATCCAGCAGCATAGACCATATGCTGCCTTTGATGCTTTCCTGACAACTTCTGGATCAAAGTCAGACATGATGAGGTATGGACGTATGCGCTCAATGATGTGTGATGGAATATTGTCTTTGTCGTATGCTTGGAGTGAGGGCAAGAAACCCGTATCTGTCAGCATCAGCTGAGCTGAGAACCAATAATCGTCAACCTTCCTCGCCGGATTGTTGGGATCTGGTATGCGTTTTGGCTTCACCTGCTTCATAATGCAGCAGGCTTCCATCACCAGCTTTACAGCTGCTGGAGGATTTTTCATCGCCTTCACTTCTGTTATGTCAGCTTTTGTAAGTGTGTTCAGAGATGCCAAGGCCGCTTCCATCATTGGCATTGCCTGAGCCATTCAGCAGGACAGTCGTCAGAGAGAAGAGAGAATGAGTGTGTGTGATTGTGACTCTGTGGTTGTAATCCCATGAGAGACATTACTTGGAATAGAACGCCCAAGGAACCCTCAAAGTGTTTCTATGATTATTCAGAATGATGATTACTAGTGCTTTTGGGAAAGGTCATGCTTTCATTCATGTGAAAATTGGGGAGATAGCAGTCTGGATTTCCAGAGTAACCATCCGAGTAGTGCATTCCGCCCTTGGGATGAATTCAAATGAAACCCCACAGTTGCTAGAGAATACAGGGAATATTCGTTGTGTATTTGAGGGGGGAAATGAGGAGGAAATAGTTCAAGCAACCAAACAGGATCAAGCAATACATCCTAGCAATATCATAACCATCACAATCCGTAAGTGAGTTATCTCATACTGTGTTACCGTGTGCTGATTGAGCGCAGCGGGATCGGAGCTCAATTTTCGAGCTCCGGTCAAACCCACGCTCAAAGTGCACGTGTGCGCCCTTTGAGCAGGCGCGGCAGGACGGGTTCCGGGGTCGGCGGGGGGGATTCCGGGGGCCCTGAGGGGAGGAGGGTGTGGCAGGGCCCTTTGGGCACCCCGTTGCACCGCCCCCCACCCCTAAGGCCCTGTCAAGTTTTTTTTTAATTATTAAAAAAAGAAAAAAGGGTCTTTCGATTTGGCGCCGGGGAAGTTTATGTGCATTAAGCACAAAACTGCGCGCGTGAATGGGTCTGTGCTCATTTGAGAGAGAGAGAGAGAGTCACCTGTAAGAACTTAGGTACGAGCTGTATGAATGACGTGTGCAAGAAAAGAGTGTGTGTGTGTGTGTGTGCGTGTGTGTGTGTGTGTGTGTGTGTGTGTGTGTGTGTGTG